TTATTTATATAGTAGAAAAGGACGGTTATAATCAGACAGTCTATACGGAACTGATTTGCTAATAAATGTTGGAGGGGTAAGCTCCACAACCAACAAGAGAGATGGAGGCTTGAGGTGTCTTATTAAGAAAATTTTAATTGCACTTCAAACAAAAACAATTGAGAATATCCTGACCGGCATTACCCACAGCACTGACTGGAATTACCTACATGATGGGGAAAAACCGGTCAATCTCATATTTCCGTGTAGTATCGAATATCTCCTTCAGCTAATTTTTCTGATAAAAGTAGTACAATACGCAATAATGCATACTTCGAACTGTACATTATAGTAATTTCAAAAATTAATTTAAAATACTTTGCCAGTTTCTCTTAAGTGACCGTCATTCCCCACTCTCCCCTAATCATTAAAGACGGGTCATGTTTCCGAAATATTTTTTTTTCTTTACGATAACGTTCCAGAACAATTTTGAAATAAACTTCTTTGTATGTCATTTCCAATGCAGAATAACCTCTCAAATCGTTACATCAATCAAAAAGGTACGCCATATTGAAAAACCATAAAAACCTATTTTGTTATATAAAAATTGATTTATTTCAATGTTGATACTTGAAAAAAACAGAAAAGTAGGTTATTTGATTAATTTATAAGTGCAAATAACATTCAATACTGAAAACATTAATGTAATTTTTTTTTAAATCATAATATTCGAAAATGAACTATAAACTACGAGTGGTGTTCAATACAGACTCCGACGATTTTTTTTTCGCGGTTATCAACATTGAAAACGCCCCAAATGCGGTACTGCTGGCAAGTACATTTCATTCCGGTTCCAATAGTATTCTTTTCGTCATGGTGCGATGTATAGTTCGTGTGTGACAGTTATTTGAAGAATCGCAGAAGAATGTCGTCTGTACACTTGTGAAGGAGGAAAATTTGAGAGCTTAGCGGTACGCTATTCAATTTTATTTCAAAAAAACAGACAGAAACGTTTTCCATGATTCATGAGGCTTATGTGAATCAGCTGTGTCTCGTTCAACATTCTACGCGCGGTATAAGTTGTTCCAAGACAGTAGGACCAGTGCGGAGCTGCAGGGGAGAACAGGCGCTCCAGCGGCGAGATGACGGAGGGAACGATTGTAGTTTTAATAACTATTTTTATATCTTTATAAGATCTTCCAGGAATAATATTATAACTCAGTTACCTATGGTTAAACAATACTTTTATTTCAAACAACCGAACTACAACAAAAACTTTATACAGCCACAGCTTTGGCGATAGGGAAACTTATTCTAACTAAACTATTTTTGGTTATAACGTTGGCTTTTTTGACGCCAACTTACACGCCGCCTGGCGCTTGTCAAGTTTTATTAATACCTATACCGCCACACGATCAATACTGGTGCCCCTATCGTTCGGGAAGACGCGAGAATCACCGTCAAACAGCTGCCAGCTATACTACAACTATCTGTTGGCAGCACACATAACATATTATCCAATGTTTTAAATTTATCGCGTTTGTGCTCGGTGGATCCCTAGGCTGCTGACAGACGTGCAAAAGCAAATCGTGTTTCCATCTACCGGTACTGACAAAATCAGGTTCCAAATGATCATATGTGGCTGGATAATTGTTTACGGTAAACGAGACTTGGATTTATGTGTACGATCCCGAAACTAAGCAGCAGTCCCAAAAACCCACCGAAAAAAGCGCTAGCAAACAAGAGCGCCGCCAAGGCAATGATCATCACTTTCTTCGATCTATATGGTATGGTGTACACTCATGTTGTTCCGAACAAGTAAACGGTCAATGCTGAATATTATATTAGTGTTCTGAAGCAAGTTATACGGTCACACATCCAAAAAAAGAGATCTACGTTCACTAAAAGTCGGTGGGTACATCATCACGACAACGCTAGGCTTCGTGTCGCTAGATCGGTGACGGACTTCCTGGCGAAACGGAACATCGAGGTGATACGCCACCCACACCACACCATAGTCAGGACCTGGCTCCCAGTGACTTTTTTATGTACCCTTCGTTGAAAAACCAGACCAAAGGTCGACGATTTGANTGTAAATTAATGCGATTCTATAGAGGTTACAATGAACTAGTTTTCGATTATCAATTGTTGAATTTTCCAATTATAAAAATTCCGTTAATTAAAGACTTAGGTATAATTTTAGACGATAAAATGTCTTTCACAAATCATATCGATTATGTTATAAATGAAGCTATGAAAATGTTAGGTTTTGTGAAACGTCAAACGTCGCAATTCAAATCAAAAAAAAACAATTGTCATGTTGTATAATTCATTAGTTAAATTTAAATTGATGTACGCCACACCAATTTGGTCTCCTGAGACACAAGAACATGTACGCCGAATAGAAACTGTACAGCACAAATTTTTTTCATATGTAACGTTTAAATTCAAACTACCAAGTCCTTCTTTTACTCACATTTATGATGGAATTGCAATATTCACAGAATTACCATCTCTTCGCTCTGTTCGTGAATTTCACGACGTGATATTTGTATACAAAATTATAACCAGACAAATTAAATGCGACGAATTATTATCTAAATTTATACCATATGTTAATGTACGAGATGTTAGATTTGTAAATCTTTTTAGAGAATTTTTCTGTAGATCTAAATTTTTGTATGATTCTATGATACCAAGACTGACTAGACTAGCGAATCGTTATTTGACAGCCGAAATGTTAGATCTCAATATTGGTGCACTCAAGTCCTCTTTAAGTCATTTACTAGAATATAAATAATGAACTTAATTGTTACAAAACTTCCTATNGTAAGCTCCACAACCAACAAGAGAGATGGAGGCTTGAGGTGTCTTATTAAGAAAATTTTAATTGCACTTCAAACAAAAACAATTGAGAATATCCTGACCGGCATTACCCACAGCACTGAATGGAATTACCTACATGATGGGGAAAAACCGGTCAATCTCATATTTCCGTGTAGTATCGAATATCTCCTTCAGCTAATTTTTCTGATAAAAGTAGTACAATACGCAATAATGCATACTTCGAACTGTACATTATAGTAATTTCAAAAATTAATTTAAAATACTTTGCCAGTTTCTCTTAAGTGACCGTCATTCCCCACTCTCCCCTAATCATTAAAGACGGGTCATGTTTCCGAAATATTTTTTTTTCTTTACGATAACGTTCCAGAACAATTTTGAAATAAACTTCTTTGTATGTCATTTCCAATGTAGAATAACCTCTCAAATCGTTACATCAATCAAAAAGGTACGCCATATTGAAAAACCATAAAAACCTATTTTGTTATATAAAAATTGATTTATTTCAATGTTGATACTTGAAAAAAACAGAAAAGTAGGTTATTTGATTAATTTATAAGTGCAAATAACATTCAATACTGAAAACATTAATGTAATTTTTTTTTAAATCATAATATTCGAAAATGAACTATAAACTACGAGTGGTGTTCAATACAGACTCCGACGATTTTTTTTTCGCGGTTATCAACATTGAAAACGCCCCAAATGCGGTACTGCTGGCAAGTACATTTCATTCCGGTTCCAATAGTATTCTTTTCGTCATGGTGCGATGTATAGTTCGTGTGTGACAGTTATTTGAAGAATCGCAGAAGAATGTCGCCTGTACACTTGTGAAGGAGGAAAATTTGAGAGCTTAGCGGTACGCTATTCAATTTTATTTCAAAAAAACAGACAGAAACGTTTTCCATGATTCATGAGGCTTATGTGAATCAGCTGTGTCTCGTTCAACATTCTACGCGCGGTATAAGTTGTTCCAAGACAGTAGGACCAGTGCGGAGCTGCAGGGGGGACCAGGCGCTCCAGCGGCGAGATGACGGAGGGAACGATTGTAGTTTTAATAACTATTTTTATATCTTTATAAGATCTTCCAGGAATAATATTATAACTCAGTTACCTATGGTTAAACAATACTTTTATTTCAAACAACCGAACTACAACAAAAACTTTATACAGCCACAGCTTTGGCGATAGGGAAACTTATTCTAACTAAACTATTTTTGGTTATAACGTTGGCTTTTTTGACTTAGCTATTATTTCAATAAATATATAATATGTACCCATACATGCATGTACGTATTTTGTTTCTAAATACGTATGTACATATTTACCGTATTTTCATAGACTTCTATAAGTGAGACAGATTCCTTCTGTAACTCTGTAAGCTAAAAACTAGGGTTAGTGAGAAACCTCTATAAGAGAAAAACAGATCGCGGTTCCTTGAGTTTGATTCTTGATCATCTACGGCCACAAATTGAAACGATTATAATACCACAACAACACGGGTTTTTTAGCGGCCGCTCGATATGCAGTAACTTGTCACTTTTTACCAATAGTATAATCAACTCGTTAGACAAAGGAAAATAAATAGATTCTATATATACCGATTTTTCTAAAGCCTTTGATAGAGTCGACATTGGTCTGTTACTATGCAAATTATCGAACCTTAATCTTAACGGTATACCAATCAAGTGGTTTGCTAATTACCTCTTGGGCAGGTCTCAAATTGTTAAATATAGAGAATTCAAATCACGTATTATTAATGTTCCATCAGGAGTCCCACAAGGTTCACACCTAGGGCTTGTTCTGTTCAATATTTTTGTTAATGATATCACCTCAGTATTTTTCAATTCTTCGTTTCTCTTATATGCGGATGATTGTAAATTTTGGAGAATAATTGAAAACGAATTGGACAGTCAGCTGTTACAAAATGATTTATGCGCATTACTAAATTGGTGTACAACGAATAAACTATCACTAAATATTGAGAAATGTAAATTAATGCGATTCTATAGAGGTTACAATGAACTAGTTTTCGATTATCAATTGTTGAATTTTCCAATTATAAAAATTCCGTTAATTAAAGACTTAGGTATAATTTTAGACGATAAAATGTCTTTCACAAATCATATCGATTATGTTATAAATGAAGCTATGAAAATGTTAGGTTTTGTGAAACGTCAAACGTCGCAATNACCGCCGTATGGTAAATACTGACTCATGGCCCACCCATACTGATTATTGATATCGAAATATGTTAAATACTGGGTTGGTTTAGTCGAATCGTAATTTTGAAGGTACTTGTTATTAGCCAAACTTTTCCTTTTCGAACATTGACTCAGACCGCCACGAATTCCGCGCTCAACAAACATAATTTGATCGATATCTGTTAAAAGTTCCAATGTCTGCCGTGTCTTAAACAACATGCAATCCCACGTATAACCTGGTAGGGTATAGTAGTGGGCGGGATCTAACCCGTATGTCTTATGACAACTGCTACGAAATTGTTCAAAAACGTCAGCCAGAAGAAGAATGTCCGTTTTCATATACAAATCAGTATATTCACCTAAAGTTTTAATATTAAATTTAGTCCAAATGTTTTGGGCGTGTGCGTATTCGTCATCAGAAATATCATTATCAGTTAATTGATTATAAAAATGTTTTTGTTCAGGTAAAGAATCGAAATTGAATTTATCGAAATTCTCCATAAAATCGTACGGGTACACTCCCTTTTTAGTTAGTAATTTAAACAGATTTTCATCTAGTTCCAGAAATTGAGATCTTAAATTTTGAAATTCGGTTAAGTATGATGATAGTGTATCTACGGCGGAAGTCATGAAACTGAACGAGTCAATGAAGCTAAGCTTAATCAAATTTTGGTCTATATTTTTTGTGAACGAAATATATTTTTCTTTTGTAATGGGTAGAAGATCGACACGGCCTGACACATCGTTGGCGATATTTTCTAGAATAAAATGGCTGTCATACCCGCTCAAATTGTGAAAGACAACAGGTATAATTACACCATCCTTGTAATTAATATTACAAGCATTGTGTGCGGCTCCTCGATAATTGTTTTCGGCTATGAAATGACAATGGTCTCTCACTTTTATATCGTCAGGGCCAAAAGGCTGTTCGCAGATGTGACAATGCGTTGCTCGTTCAAATTCAGCCTGTTGTTCTGGAGTCATTCTAATATCAAAAGGACACAGATAAACCGTCTCGACATCTTCAGCAAAACAACACATCTGCTGAGCAAACCAGGACATGCAATCTTCTCCGCGATAAGATCTGTAAAAAGATAACGTGGGATCATAAGAACACTTGACGTAGTAACCAATTGCTGCGGGTACGTGGCGCTGGTACTTGTTGCCCGAGTTTACTACTTTTTCTAATACACTTTCAAGGTCAGCATAAACAATGAACGGCATCTTTTCCTTATTTTTGAAGTTTTTGAATTTCAAGTGCTTCTGTTCACCCCCACTCGGTAGTCTAATACAGCAGTCATTAACATTTTTGCAGTCCTTATAATGTTCAGACAATCTATCTTGGGAAGAGAAGTAGTGTAAACATCGATCGCAAAAATGCTTTTTGCCATCATGTTTGCTAAGTTGGGATGACAGAAGCCTCGACAAATTTTTTATCCAACAAAAATGGTATTTCATAGGAATATTAGCATCATCAAGATCATCATCTTCATACCGATCTTGTATAAAGAGCAAGTTGATATGCTTTTCCATTTTATTTTTCGTTAAATATGTAGGGAGTATGATGAAAGTGTTTTTACATTTTTTCAATCCGTAAAGGTTAATAGATAAATTATTTTGATTTTCGAAACGTGGAATTTGTCTTGTAGTCATCGGAAACTGAATACCTTTTATATTTAGAACTTTAGAATAATGAGGATAAGATGCCGTTCGGTCACTGTTTTTATGAACAGGGTACAAGGCAGAAACTACTGCCCACGCAAAGCACGCCCCATCCATATTTTTAATATTTATGCAGGCTTCTTTGATTTTAATTTGCCGCGGTAACTCTACATATGAGGATCCCAGTTGAGGTGTAAATTTGTTGATGTGGATTCCCAAGTTGGTGATAGAACTCAGTGTCCAGCCGGAGTCTCTCTCTTGGAACTCATCCAGTTGGTTTAGTATTGGCTGTGATATAGTTTCTTGAAACCATTCTTCCAAGTCTGTGTCTCGATAGATCGGATCATTCCGGGTGTTGAAATACTTGGTTTCCTCAATTATTCGATCGGCTTTTTGCAAAAGGAATTGCCCTCCCAATATCGCATTAACCTTGAGCGACTCTTCTTTCTTCAAAACATTGGCAATGCGACGTTTGAAGAGGATGAAACAATCGGCGAGAAACTGACGTGGGTCTTTATGCTTCAAATTAGAAATCACACCGGTACGAATGCGGCTATCGAATGCGATTTCGCTGTCGTCCCATTTTACTCTTTTTGATGGTCTAGAAGAGGTTAAAACCTCGCCCGTCATCCCCGAACCATGTCTTACAGAAACTTTTATTTGATTTCTATAACTTTTAACGTTAGCCAGCTGCGATAAAAGTTGTTGCTTCTCGCCTACCGTGGTTGCCTTCTTCAATAGCATTTTAATAGTTCGTACAGCCTTAGTACAGTTCTTCAGTCCGTCGCGCGCTGCATCTTCGCTGTAGGTTGTCTGCAAAGTCTTTACTAATGAAGTTATAGTAAAAATCAGAAGCTTAAGAACCTTTTTGGCTGACATGATCTGAAACAAAAACGTAAAAACATCGGTCGTTTAATAAAATATATTAATCACTAATATTAGTAGAACACGGATTTAAAGCAGATGGCCTGCATAAAAACTGCTCTTAGAATTACATTAAAAACATGTGTTATTATGATGAATATTATTGCCTTAGTCAAGCTATTTAATTTGAAATTTATCACATACTACACAGTGAAAAACAAGGGGTAGTGGTGTTTTATCTGAAACATTTGATACTGTTACGTAACAACACCTCATGCAAAAATGGAAACCTACCTCTTTCAAATAAGATAATTCGAAGTGGTCTGTATTCTATCGAAACTGCCAGACGCGGATCGCGATTTCGATCTTTTTTGATCTCATCAGCGCGTCGCAGGCAGCTTCGACAGAACACAGACCAACCTTTACCTGCTGTTTTAGCAGTGCATTTTTTTTTAACTGTGGAGCATACGTAATCCTAAAATGTAGCATCGTGCTACAGATGGCGTTTACTGCGCCAATTGTAGTATTTTCTACCTCTTTCAACAAAAAAAATACAAGCTGATGCTAATCACGATGGAGGAGTGGGTAAAAGTACCTAACACACTGTGTTATTCAAAATGAAATACTAAAATGTCTACTGATTGAATAATACATGCTTTACAAGATACAAACGAAACTATTAGAACAGAATTTCAAGGAAAAATTACTCAAAAGATGATGGTGTATATACCTAAAGTGATCTAAAAAATTTCGAAGTGAATTCAAAAAATATACAGTTATTATAATAATGTAATCGTCACAAGATGCTGTTTAATTTGATATGAAACACGTCATACCTTTTTTTAAAAATAAAATGCTAACAATATTACAGTTCTAATCGTTGCAGTTCAATTAGGTATTTACCAAACTACACCACACATATTTTGGAAAATGAAGAGCCCCTTTTTTAATAAAAATAAATGACAACTTACTGCTTATAAAATAACAAATATTGCCGATGTTTATAACTATAACTGTGAATAATACATGCTTTATAAGATACAAATAAAACTATTAGAACAGGATCTCAAAGAAAAATTACTCAAAAGAAGATTGTGTATATACCTAAAGTGATCTAAAAAATTTCGAAGTGAATTCAAGAAATATACAACAATATTACAGTTCTAATCGTTACAGTTCAATTAGGTATATA